CTGTCCCATCACATGGCCTTACTTGGCGGGGCCATGGGGAGCGATCCAGCAGAGCCAGTTTTCAGAAACGTCCTACGTTAAGGGACTGTCTTGCTAAACTCTTCCATCCAGAAGGCACCCAAGTAGAAAGAGAGGCGGTCAGCCAGGTGGGGACGGCACCGGGCTGGATCCGATTTGGGCTCACCAAGGCACAGCTGGGCTTTTAAGCTCCTTAGTGCTTGGTTCTGTGTGTGCCACCGGAGGTTGAAGGAAGGGAGGATTGGGAAGATAAAGGCCCACGTTGCAATAGTTTACTGTGTTTATCCAGTGAGCCTGCCCACGTCGGGTCTTGCCCTTTCTGATCATTGCCAGGGAGACACATGTGCAGGCTGTTGTCAGCAGCCTTCCTCTGGGGTCCAGCTCACATCACCCTGCTTTCCATTCCTCTTGCTGGGAGCTGGGACGGCTGAAGCCCTCGTCATGCTCACGATGGCAACAGGCCGCAGCGTTACTGGCTTGGCCTTCATTTGAATCAGTGCCTGTGCTAAAACCCAGCGTGTAGACACCCGGAGTTGCCTCTGGTGGGAGCTTCGGGCTCTAGTCTGGATAGATAGGTTTCCCAAGTGTAGATATTCTGTTTATGTGTTAAGTAAGCTCTGGGCAAGTTGCATAATTAACTTGGGAGACCCCTCGTTCCATGTAGGTGTTTGTTCTAATGTCCCCTGGTCACGGAAGCCTTCCCTGGCCACCTGATGCACAATATACATCCCCTCCCCACACGTCCTCCTCCTCCTGCCTGAATGTAGCTCCACTTGAAATGTATTCATTTATTTGTTCTTCCACTAACACACGCGCTCTATGACAGCAAGGTTGCCTGCTTTGTTTATTGTGATATCTTTAGCTCCTAGAACAGCGTGGGGCCTGTCCTGTGTGTTCCCTAGGACTCTGTGGAATCAAGGCAAGACTGGAAGGAGACTTGCTGAAGCGGGTTGTTGCCAGTCTGTCCATAAAAGGGCCCCGTTCCCAGGAGAAAGCAAAGTGCCCTTTGTAGTTGCTTTCTAATTCCTAATTTCTTCTAGCAAACATTCATCAAGCACTTGGAGCCAGCTGTGAAAGATCACAGCCCTGCTCTCCCAGGGTTCACGGACTGTGGTGGATGTAGACATTTGGATTAAATCTATTATTAAAGATACAACTCTGGTGTCAGCCCTCCTGGGTTTGTTTTTCAGACCGTAACAGCCTTTAAAAGCCTTTCTTGAACACTCTTCTTCCCCAAAGCCAGGTTAGGTGCCATTTTTGCCATTTGCACAGCATCCCCTGCAGAGTTTGACTGTGGCCCACATGTAAAGCAGACAAGTACTGGGCAGTGTGCTTTCTGTTTCCCCTTACGAGCTCTTTAAAAGCAAGGGTTGCACCTTACTCTGCTGTTACTGAGTAGAGCATCTGACATCATATAGAATATTCAGTAAGTAGCGGGTATCCTTGTTTGTGTGTGTGTGTGTGTGTGTGTTTAAGATTTTATTTATTTATTCATGAGAGACACACGGAGAGAGACAGAGACACAGGAAGAGGAAGAAGCAGGCTCCATGCAGGGAGCCCAATGTGGGACTCAATCCCAGGACGCTGGGATCAAGCCCTGAGCCAAAGGCAGACGCTCAACCCCTGAGCCACCCAGGTGCCCCGTATCCTTGTGATTGCCACTGTCACTCTGTGCATTCAGTAAGCAACACTTATATATCCGTATATCTGTATAATCACATTTAAAATATTCTGAGGGGATGCTTGGGTGGCTCAGTTGGTTAAGCATCTGCCTTTGTCTCAGGTCATGGTCTCAGAGTCCTGGATTGAGCCTGGCACTGGGCTCCCTGCTCAGCGGGGAGTCTGCTTCTCCCTCTCCCTCTGTACTCTCTCTTTCTCAAATAAGTAAAATCTTAAAAAATATCCTGAAGATATAAGTCTTAGAAACAGTTCTGTATTGTTCTATGATACAACATGTCGTCTACAATATTCCCCATTTCGGGCTCCCCTTGTGTTCTGGTGATGATCTAGACTGGCGTGGAATCTTTACCAAGAGTTCCTAGGGGACTTTGTGTTCCTGGATGCAGGCTGGGGTCCTGGTGTACTTTGCGAATCATTCTCTGCATGCGGATGTCAAGAACTGCTACGAGCCTGGGGCATTTGTTTAATTTCAAGGGGGCTGAGGAAGTCGCAGGAATCCTCTTAATAAACACATGTGGGTTCATGGCATTTTGACGCTGCCACTTTGATGTGGCTGTTTTGATTCAGGGTTGCAGGGACATTTTGTTATGGCCTGAAAAACAAATCAAGAATCGTGTGTCACAGGCCCGTAAGCACACTGCTGGACCGAGTATCTGTGTTACCCTGGTATCTGGGTGTTTTCACTTTGACATGGCTGTTTTGATGCCCGACACTTTCATTATATCCTAGGGAACTTGCCCGAACGTTTGGGATCAATACTTGTTAGTCTCACTTCAATACCAGCCATGTGCCTGAGTCTGACTTCAGTGGCAAAAGGGCTTCGACTGAAGCAGAAGGCGGGGGTGGCAATCTCAAGGGGAGGCAGAGCGATGCCCAAGGCTCGCTAACGGATCCATTCTCCATTTCCGAGACACACGTGGCCTCCCTTCTTTTCTGGCCATTTCTCAGTTTAGAGCTTCAGATGACTGACAGACATGTTTAAAAATATCAAAAGATCCCAAATGGAAACATTGAAAATATGGTCTATCCATACGAGAAAAGATCGTTTTGATCATCTTCCCCTGCATGTCATCAAAAGAGCCTTTCTGCCTGTTTCGCTTGGTGATTAGAGGAAGCGATGTTTGTTGCTTGCTGACCAGATTGGCCCTCATCTGCCTGCTGCCAGCAGTCATGCCCTACTTTCTTTTTTAGACAGGCTGAGTGATCGTTAGCGCACACATGTCAGCTAGTCAGAGGTTGTCCCAAAGCGAACAAGATGAGTAGATAATTAGGCCACTAAGGGGAGACCAAGATGCTTATATTTTCACTAATATTTTCAGTTGGGTATTCTAACCAGACCATGAAACATCATTCCTAATTTCAAAGCATTTTGGGAGCAAATATATTAAGCAGCTGTTCTAACAAAGTGAGGAGTTGTGTTTGGGTCCCTGGTCTTAAATCTGAGACTCTGGAAGCTAAGCTTGGGGTCCTGTTGAAATGGTGGTGGAAATCTGTAGGTCCACTGACTTACATGTCACCCTTATCACAAACTCAATGAATGCTTACTTGGTGTGTGTCTCCATGCTCCCTGGATAAAAGTGCCACCTGCACCAGGTGTCATGATGGCCCCTAACATACACGATCACATTTAATTTCCACAAGGTCGGCATCAAGGCCTTTTTTCTACATATCACACAGCTAGCCAGTGATGGAGGCATGATTTGAATCTCAGGCTCCCTATTTCCAAAACCTAAACTATTTCCATTATAATCAGTGATTCCAAACCACTGATCTGCAAATGGACATTGGCTCCAAAAGAAGGCTTTTCTAATCTGTGGAGAGAATGGGTAAGGCTAACACCCTCCCACCTTAGAAGGCATTGCCATTTATTCAGAGTCTGTGACCTGTCTTTCTAGGGGTTAAAGACAGCTAAAAAATTTGTAATCACATGATGGTGATTGTAAATGGCAGCTAACAAAAAAGTATCTTTTTTTAAATTTTTTATTTATTTATGATAGTCACAGAGAGAGAGAGAGAGGCAGAGACACAGGCAGAGGGAGAAGCAGGCTCCATGCACCGGGAGCCCGACGTGGGACTTGATCCTGGGTCTCCAGGATCGCGCCCTGGGCCAAAGGCAGGCGCCAAACCGCTGCGCCACCCAGGGATCCCACAAAAAAGTATCTTAAAAAAAAAAAAAAGGCCTCTCTATGCCAATCTCCAAGCTTAAATTTGAAATTTTGTTGGCCTGGCAAATGATAAAGCTGGAAAAAGGGGTAGTGTACTTATTACCCCAACAAGGATTCCACTGCAGACTCTCACCACGGGGTTTATCTGGAAAAGGGCTGGGCAGCACTGAGGAATGAAGATGGTCATGTGTCTCTTTTTAAAAATTTTTAAAAAATCTTTATTTTTTAATTTTTTGGTCATGTGCCTCTTAAAGCCACATTTCGTTGACCCTGAGTAGCATAACTCGGGCAGCTTAGCAGAGTCCTGATTATGCAAATGACCTTTTAAATACCACAATTAAAAAAAAATACATAGGCCATCCTTTCTGAAAGAGAGGCATAATTTGGAATACCAACATCTATGACTTTTCCATGATCAGGATGAGGAAGCCTTGAGCTCAGAGGCATTTTAATGTAGCATGACTTAGATCATGACTCTTCTGACCTTAGATCATTCAGAACTCACCTTTTTGCCATTGACACAAGAAAGAGCTCGGGTTTTGGAGGCAGACATATCTGGGTTTATAGCTCCATTTCTTGTAGCCTTATGACCCTGAGCAAGTTACTTTCTGGGAAACAGAGCAGGGATTCTTGCCTCTCAGAGTTACCATGGTGGGCAATTCTTGGAAAAACCTCACCACTGCTTGTGGTATGCTTTCTTTCTTTCTTTCTTTCTTTCTTTCTTTCTTTCTTTCTTTCTTTCTTATTTAAGACAGAGAGTGTGAGCAAGAGTGGGGAGGGGCAGAGGGAAAGGGAGAAGCAGACTCCCAACTGAGCAGGGAGCCCGACGTGGGGCTCGATTCCAGGACCCTGAGATCATGACCTGAGCCAAAAGCAGATGCTTAAGCAACTGAGCCATCTAGGCCCCCACACCTTTTCTTTATGTGACGATCCAAGATGGTAGGGATAGAAGCGCCAGGCATATAAACTGTTGCTCAGAGTCCCCCGATTTGCTCGGGTTTTTATTTCCTGCCTGTGGTTCCCAATACCCCACTATGCCTGGGGGAGGCCTGTTTCACCCGCTATTACCTGAGCACCTCAGACTGTGTATGGGAGTCACCCCGCAGCCTCTAACTGTGACATCTGCTTCTTTTGTAGTGCCAACAACATGCCCAAGCAGGTGGAAGTACGAATGCACGACAGCCATCTCAGCTCAGAGGAGCCGAAGCACCGACATCTAGGCCTGCGTCTGTGTGACAAGCTGGGGAAGAACCTCCTGCTCACGCTGACTGTGTTCGGTAGGTGACAGATGCCACCCCTCTTCTCTGGCTCTCTTGTGGCTCTGTGGGGAAGCTGGGTCCCACAGCCAGCCTTCCCCCTGTAAAGGAAGCCTTATATCCTACTTTGGGCCTCCTTTGCCCAGGCATGGCTGCCTTGATGACATAATCTTCCCCTTACCTGCCCTAGCCATTTGTTTTCTTCTTTGGTATTCTAATTGTTCTTACAGCTTCTTGTGAGTGTGTTAGTACACAGAATCCCAGGCCCTACACATAGAGACTTCAGGTCATCTACATTGAGGCCTTGGGATCTACATCTTAACAAACCTTCTAGGTGATTCCTAAACAGATGGTCAGCATACCACATTTAGAGGAATACCTGCCTGAAGATAAAGGGAGCAGGTGCTGAAAACCCCACTAAGAGGGCTCCTGAGGTCTAGCCTACAAACACCTCATTACCTTAGATTAGCTTGGCACATTAGCTAATGAGGTCAGGGTGGAAGAGGCTTGTCTAGAAGCCTTGATCTGCTCTGGCTCCGTCTCAGAAGTCTGACTCCCCCACTTCAGACCTCACCCAGGCTATGGTTATGCTTTTGTGGGACTGTTGACACAATCTTGGTCTTGGGTTTTCAACCAGGGTTTATTGAAAATGGGGCAAATTTCAGTGTCTTGTAATGACAACCACACCATTTCCTCTTTTGATCCCTCCATATTCTTCAGCTCTCTCTTAGGCTACACATAGAAGCAATGAACAACTCATCACCTCCAACCCTTTCCCTATTCAGCTCCATGGCTTCTTCCAAAGGAAAAAGTCAGTCACTTGATGTCAGTGGACTAGGGTTAGAACTGGGCACTGACCACAGCTCAGTTCACTTAATGAAAGAAGATAGAGGTGTAGTAGGGGTTTCCAAAGGTTGTCTTCCACATAAATTTCACTCATCATAGGTTGTCATGAAGTATGTTTTTCACCTATGGAAGTAAAAAAAGATCAGGCTGTTGGCCGCAGTGCTCCCTTCACATCCCTTGAGTTAATACCGTAGCTCATGGGGACCTAGGAATTTCCTCCCTCCCTCTCAGCCAGGGTGCTATGACCTGGTTTGTGGTTTCTACAAGCATCTTTTATGTCTGCAGCCTGTTTGCAGAGATCCAGTTTGTCCTGTGGAATCCCCGAGTATGCAAAGTGAAAGGCTCCTGCCAGCAACTCTGGCCAGATTGTTTCCTCCCAAATTATATACTTTTAGAGACGCCCCCTAATCTTGCGTAAAATCAGCAAGTCTAAAGATTATGTAAGAGAACGTAGAAGTCAAGGACAAAACTTCTTGAGAATGAGCCATGGGGAAATCGTTGGGAGCCAAAGAAAATAGAAGGAAAAAGAAAACTCACACCAGCTTGGTAAATCAAATGTTCCTTTCATCTGGTATGTAGTTAGAAAGGGAAGAAATATATTAAGAACTGTGCCACTGGCCAGGCCTAGGATTGGGCAGAAGGGAGCAATATCTGACACTATGGATTATTTCTGCTGACAATCTCTGCCAGTACAAGTGGACAGTATCCTTAAAGAAGTTAATAAAAAAAAAAAAAGAAGTCAAGTCACCATATATCCTCCTTCTCTTAAAGCCTTGCTTGGGAAGGCTCTCCTTGACCCTCCCAGTGCTACTTTTTAGAATAGTTGGAGGTACACAATATTCTCTCACTAGTCATTAAAATCAACTTTACTTATCTAGTGGTATTTTTGTTACATGCTACTCATCATCCAATAATGGAGAGCTATGAGAAAGGTCAACGTCCCTGAATCCCTAGAGCCATTCATTTGAGTAAAGTTAAACATAAATTCAGATGTTTCCCCCTCCCCCTTCTAGGTGTCATCCTGGGGGCAGTATGTGGAGGGCTTCTTCGCTTGGCATCTCCTCTCCACCCCGATGTGGTCATGTTGATAGCCTTCCCAGGGGATATACTCATGAGGATGCTAAAAATGCTCATTCTCCCTCTCATCATCTCCAGCTTAATCACAGGTAAGACCGTATCTCTGGAGCCTGTCCACAGTAGATTGTACTCCTGCTCTGGCTTGTGGATTGACCATCGAATCTCAATTTGGTTGAATGAATGAACGTGTCATTTTATTTCAGAACCTTGGTTTTCCTGTCTCTGAAATGGGGATTATCAATGCTAAAAATGTTTGGCATCTATTGGGCAATCCAGCCATCTGTCAGTCTAGCAATAAAAGATGAAACAGCCACATGTTAAAAGTGATGATGATAGTGATTTTAATTTTGAAGTATACTTGTCTCATTTTCCAAATTATGCTTTGTTCAGATACTGATGAATAAAAGCAACCAATAGAAAAGGAAATCTTCTCTTGACTATTTAACTGAGTGTAGAGGGAAGAGGGTATTAAAATAAACACTAGAAATAATGGGGATCCCTGGGTGGCTCAGCGGTTTAGCGCCTGCCTTTGGCCCAGGGCGCGATCCTGGAGTCCCGGGATGGAGTCCCGTGTTGGGCTTCCGACATGGAGCCTGCTTCTCCCTCTGCCTGTGTCTCTGCCTCACTCTCTCTCTATGTCTATCATGAATAAATAAATAAAATCATTTAAAAAATACTAGGAATAAAACCTTTGAGGTTTTTGGAAGAAAAGCACCCTTAATATATAGATCATGTTAACTTGTTTTGGGCTGAAAGGATTGTTTTATTTGTAAGAATTTGTTTGCTTATACTGTGGGCTTATACTGGCAGTTTTCCTCTTACCAAATAATATTGCTCAAATAGGGTATAAATTGATGTAGTTTAGAGACTGAGCTCTGAGTTAAGAATGAAAGCTAGGCTTTGATTGATATTTGGGTGCCACCTGGGTGACCTTGAGAAAGCTGTCCCTCTGGACTATCCACCTTATGAAGCAAGTGAGGCTTTAGAAATGCTAAGAGATTGGGATCCCTGGGTGGCGCAGCGGATTGGCACCTGCCTTTGGCCCAGGGCGCGATCCTGGAGACCCGGGATCGAATCCCACATCGGGCTCCCGGTGCATGGAGCCTGCTTCTCTCTCTGCCTGTGTCTCTGCCTCTCTCTCTCTCTCTCTCTCTCTCTCTGACTATCATAAATAAAAAAAATATTAAAAAAAAAAGAAATGCCAAGAGATTCAGATGCTAAGCCAGATTGTTATGGAGTCTGATTTCTGGTCTACCAGTGAGCCTGGTAAATGCAAGGTCTCATCATTTAGCCCCAGAGTGAATGACACTGTGTTTTCACCTTAAAGGTTCCTTTATAAACCAGAGAAAAATTTTTCATGCCCATTGAACAGGCCATAGGCTGGGCAGCCTGGCAAGGAAACTGAGCATTTGTTGGCCAGAATCTGACTTTAGGTTATAAGGAGAAGTGGCTCATATACGGGTCAGCTTAATTCAGAAGTTTACACCAATGACTTCCTCCCCCACAGCAAGGGCTACAATCTTTCTGTCTAGTAAAAGCAGAAACTGAAACCAGGAAGTAGAAAAATTGAAGAAACAACTGGGAAAAAACCCAGTGAAGGCAGGAGTTTTTGTGACTTGGCTTGGAATTTCCTCTAACGATCACAGGACCTCCCACAGTATAGACAAAGCACCCACCTTTATGTTCTTTAATCCCTGCTCTAGGTTGGAAAATGTGGGTCTCCATCATGCTTCACCTCGGAGGAGTGAGGGCTGTGCTAGATCACTATGCTTGACTCTTGAGATCAATCACCAGGGCTACCAGCTTTTGATTTTTTTAAGTGAGAACCTTAAAAAAAAAAAACACAGCGTGTACTAGCATCACTTCATAAAGAAAGGATATCTTAATACCAAATAAATGGGAAAGACATCATCTCAGAATTAAAAATGGAATATATTCAACTTTAACTCACTCTTCCAGACTGATGAAAAGTAGTCATCTATCAGTTTATAAACTCTGAACTAGAGATCTTCAAGTCTCCCAGTTCTCCAGAATCTCAAAAATGTCCTTGGAGAATAGAACTATAAACTATAGGATTGAAATATTCAGTAGGAGGAGGTTTAATCAACCATTAAGGCGTTTGAGTACTACAGAGGCAGGTTATGGGTATGCAGGGGTGGGCAGTTAACAGAGACATCACAGGATTGAGCCTCTGCTGTCTTTTCACCATAGGGTTGTCGGGCCTGGATGCTAAAGCCAGTGGGCGCTTAGGCACAAGAGCCATGGTGTATTACATGTCCACAACCATCATTGCCGCGGTGTTGGGGGTCATCCTGGTCTTGGCTATCCACCCAGGGAACCCCAAACTCAAGAAGCAGCTGGGACCTGGGAAGAAGAATGATGAAGTGTCCAGCCTGGACGCCTTCCTGGATCTTATTCGAAATCTCTTTCCTGAAAACCTGGTCCAAGCCTGTTTTCAACAGGTAACCTGAAGTTCTGATGCTCTTGTTCCTCCAGCCTCCTAAATTATCAAGATAATAACTTGGAGAGTGTTTCAGTGTACCAGCTCTGGGGAGCAGTTTTCTTATATTTAATTATCTCTGTTTAGAGGTTGTATGGGATGATTTGGAGCAGGATTTTGGGATTAAAATTGTGTTTTGTTGTTTTGTTGTTATTAACCTTCCTTTTTCTTCCAGCTCACTTCACATCTCTTTGCTCTGGGATTCCCCATCTTGCCCTTTTTTTTTCCCCCTGTTACCTCTCCCCTTGTTTTTTATTCCCCTCGGTGTGCTGTCCAAGGGCATATTTTTATAACTTTTGCCCACAACTCTCTAGAGTACCCAGTGAGTCTCAGGGTGGGTAGTGTAGCAAAATCACATAGGGTGGATTTAAAAAATCCACATGCCCTACAGACTCAGAATCTCTAGTGTGTGCCCAAGGGCTGGGTGTTTTTCAAATTGTGGAAGTAATCCATGAGGGTTGTAAAAAGCTTAAACAGTGTAGATTCACCTACAGTCAAGTCCTCACTTCCCTAGAACTACTCGTGTTGGGAATTTTGTTTATATATATATATATATATATATATATATATATATATATATATAATGCATGTGTGCATGATCTTTTTTTTAAAGATTTATTTATTTGTTTTTGGACGCATGAGCAAAAAAGAGAGAGCGAGCAAGCGAGCAAGGGGAGGGTTAGAGGGAGAGAGAGACCCCCAGCAGACTCTGTGCTCAGCTCAAAGTCTGACATGGGGCTCAATCTCAGGACCCTGGAATGATGACCTGAGCTGAAACCAAGAGTCGGATGCCCAACTGACTGCCCTGCATGTATGCATAAGCTTTAAAAAAAAAAAGGTTCCCCCCAGAGGGTACTGCATTATACGTACTGTGTTGCACTTGTTTTGTTTTGTTTTGTTTTTTTAAATGGGGCTTAGCATCATCCCTCTCTCTTTTCATGATTGTGTAGTATTTCTAAATAATAAATTCTTGGATGCTAGTGTCTTGCCAAAGAGTTTTAGATCTCAGATTTGCTGGATGTTGCAAAACGGCTCTACAAGACTGTATAGTAGTGTATACTCCTACCAGCTGCATAAAGGGAGATCAATTTTTTAGAAACGTAGAATTTTTAAAAATGGATGATTCTGCTGAGTGGAACCCCTGAGAGAGCTTCCAAGGCCCCAGTCACCAGCCTGTTGTCTAGCCCCAAACTCAGGTTAGGTTAGAATACACTCCAGTTCCCATTAGCCCTGGTAAGAAGTCAACTAGAACCAAAGAACCTCCTCCAGCCATTTTCAGGGAATCACAGAAGAATGAACTTAGGAAACAGTCCGCCTGGAGGAAAAGTTTGCATTCCCAGCTGCCCTCAAAATGCTGTTGCCAACCCCTGCTGAGCCCAAATTGCTCTGGGTTGGGATGTGTTCTCTGATTTCTAGTACCACTTTGGTGGCACTTACAGCATGGAGCTATGCTAAAGAAAGGCATTTCATGGATAAAGATGCGTATGTACGCACGATGGAGCATTAGTTCCTCAGCCATTAGAAACAATGAAATCTCGCCATTTGCAACAACAGGGATCGACCCAGAGGGTATGAGGTTAAGTGAAATACGTCAGTCAGAGAAAGGCAAATACTGTATGATTTCACTCAAATGTGCAATGTGAGTAAAAAACTAGACAAACGACTCAACAAATAAGCAAACAAGCAAAAAGCAGAAGCAGACTTATAAATACAGAGAACAAACCGATGGTTGTCAGAAGGAAGGAGGTGGGCAATGGGCAAAATGGGTGCAGGGGACTGGGAGCTACAGGCTTCCAGTTATGGAGTGAGCAAGTCATGGGGCGTGGCCCCAGGGAAGATAGTCAACGATGCTGTGATCGTGTCCTGTGGTGACAGATGGCAGCTTCCCTTGTGGCGAGCAGGGCGTAATGTAGAGACTTGTCAAATCACTACAGTGTACACCTGAAACTACTGTAACATTGTGTGTCAACTGTGCTTCAATAAAAAATAAAACTGAAGTTCAAAGAAAAAAAAAACAGTAAAGAGCAGAAGGGGAAAAAAGGCTCCATTAAAAAATAATACTGATAATAATAAAAATAAAAGAAACCATTTGAGCCAGGGGAGGCTGGCCAGGGGGGTGAAGAACAGCAGGCCAGGGAGGGGTGCTCCCTGGCGCTCCCTCTGTAGAATGTGCTCGCTCCACTGCCAGCCCACTTAGGAAGATGAATTTGCTGCTTTGGGGAGACAGACACAACTGGGTGCCAAGTCTATTGTCAGCATTTTGAAAAGAGCACTCTGGAACGGGGTGTAGGGGTAGCACGAGAGGTGAGGGGGGAGGCGTAGGCCTCCTCCTTGGGCCCTGTCATGACCGTGCTCCATGCAAGGAGACCCCCCGATCGTCGTCAGCAAGGCAGGCCCGAAGCAAGCAGACCCTTGGAGTTGTTGCTCTGCTGTGGGGTGAGCTTTTGCAGTGCTCGCCACGCTCACGCTCCATAACCTGTCTGGCCAATGGGCCGACTCGGCATGGTGCTGCCCCGGCAGGGGTGCTGTGTGCGCGGGAACAGAGGGCTGAACCTTCCCTGCCCCACCGCCACCCCCACCCTGGACTCACCCCTCCACTGGCCACAGACTTGCGAGGAATCAACCCTTTGGCCCCCAGCTCGGCCCAGGGTCACTCTCCCTTTGAGTTAGGACAGTCAGAAGAAAAGTTGTATAGGATCTTTTTCTTAAAAAAAGAAAAAAAAAAGATTTATTTGCTTTAAAGAGAAAGAGAGAGCAGGTGAGCCCAAGTGGGGAGGGCAGAAGGAGAGGGAGAGAGAACCTCAAGCAGAGGCCGCGCGGAGTGTGGAGACCGACCCAGGGCTCCAACTCTCGACCCTGAGATCAGGACCAGAGCCGAAACCAAGAGTGGGATGCTCAACTAACTGCACCACCCAGGTGCTCTTGTGTGCACTCTTTTATTTGCCTCATGGCAAGGGAGCACTCGGATGCCTTACGCTGGACTTCAGGCAGCCCGAGGAAAGAGGTCTTAAACTAGCAGCCATCCATGCGCTCACAGGGGCCCTGAGGAGGGCTCAGGACGCGGGAGTCATTGGACAGCGGCGTCACTCTACCAGAGGGAAAGTGGGCCGGGGAGGGGCCTTCTGTGCCCTGGGGAAACACCTGGAAGGGACCTCAGAAAGCTCTTCTTGGGTGTGGGGTCTTTCCAGCCAGAGTTAGACACAGAGATGGAAAGCTGCATGGCCCCGGAGCAGAGGCGGCCTTCCCCAAGGGCCCAGCCAGGGGGGCTTCCAGTGAGCCAGGGGGGTAAGGTGTGGCCTCATCCCACGCAGTCAAGCCCAGGGAGAGGGAGCACCTGGGTCATCTCTTCCGGGGAATCCAGCGACCTGTGTTTGCTCACCTGTCCGATATTTGTGAGCACCTCCCGGGTGCTAGGCTCCCACGGTGCACAGGATGCCGCAGGCAATGAGACCTCGGGGTCCCTGCCCAATGGAACCTGCTTACATTCGGGCGTTGGGGGTCACAGACCAGCACAAGCATCAGCATATTTAACTAATATACAAGTTAGTTAAAAATTAAGTGCGCTCGGAGGGCTGGAGGCAGGGTGGGGGGCTCTGCAGTAACTGGGAGACCTCGGAGCTGAAACAGTCAAGGACCCCACCCAGGCGCCGAGGGCTGGGGGCGGAGCCTGCTGAGGACTGGAGGTGTAGCCTGCCAATAATGGGGGTGGAGCCTGCTGAGAATGGGGGCGGAGCCTGCTGAGGATGGGGTGTAGCCTGCTGAGGACTGGGGCGAAGCCTGCTGAGGACTAGGGGCGGGGCCTGCTGAGGATGGGGTGTAGCCTGCTGAGGACTGGGGAGGAGCCTGCTGAGGACTAGGGGCGGGGCCTGCTGAGGATGGGGCAGAGCCTGCTGAGGATGGGGGCGGAGCCTGATGAGGATGGGGCGGGGCCTGCTGAGGATGGGGTGTAGCCTGCTGAGGACTGGGGCGGAGCCTGCTGAGGACTAGGGGCGGGGCCTGCTGAGGATGGGGTGTAGCCTGCTGAGGACTAGGGGCGGGGCCTGCTGAGGATGGGGTGTAGCCTGCTGAGGACTGGGGCGGAGCCTGCTGAGGACTAGGGGCGGGGCCTGCTGAGAACTTGGGGCGGGGCCTGCTGAGGACTGGGGGCGGAGTCGGCCGAGGACTAAGGGCGGAGCCTGTTGCCTGCAGAACAGAGGTGCTGTTCTGAGAGGCCAAGGAAGGCCAGTGTGGGAGGTGGAGTGAGCCGGGGAGGCAAGGCCCAGCTCAGGCAAGGCCCAGCTCAGGCAAAGCCCAGCTCAGGCAGGACCTGGTAGGCCAGGGTCAGACTTGAGTACCTCTTCTAAGAGAGTTTTAGGCAGACAACTGTTTTTCTACTTTTAAGAAATCAACCTGGCAGTTCTGAATGTAGGCAGAGCTCTGGGTAGCTAGACTTCCCTGGTGTTGGCAGGTAGACTAGATGGGGGGTGGGAACGTCAGTGAGCAGACTTTTGCAGGTATTAGGGCAAGAAACCCTGGTGGCTTGGGCTCAGGTAGACTGGAGCTGGCCCAGATGGAGTTGTCCAACCCAAATAGGCTCAGATCAAGAACACAGGCAGAAATTAAGCTTGTGTTCCAACCAGTATCCCTGTCAACTTGTCTGCAACTTAAGCCACTGCCTCGTGCTGTTTGGAAGCTGATTTTGGAGTCAAACATACCTCATTTTGCATCCTGCTTCAGCAACTAGCTAGTTTCTGCCCTGCAATTAGTTAGCCCTGTGAGTCTTGAGGGGCTACTATTGACATAAGAGATAATACATGTCAAACATGAAGCACCTGGCTGCCCACCTGATCCTGAGAGCCATCATTTATTTACAACCATGGCCGTTAGTCTTTTGAACTCAAGCCTTGGCTTCTTTAGCATTCCCAGGAAGGTCTACAGTTGGCTTCTGGTCCTCCCATTTCTCCTGGGAGCATGACTCTTTGCTCACAGAAGCTCCCCTTCTGATTCTTCCTGCCTTCTCTCTTCATGCCAATGTTGCAGACCATGGGGCCCACGAGCTTCCTGTTCTCCCCTTGCACACTCAGCCTGAGCATCTTCCCTCACTGCACAAGTATAGGTGGTCAGGCCAGAACAGGGCATATCCTGCTCCACTCCCATCCCACCCCGGGTAGCTGGTCAGTTTGGCATTGCTCAATGTTAGGCCCAGCCACAGTGGATTAGATCCATATAGCATAGGGAGTGGGAGAACTCAGTGGTGGTCAGGCCCTCGGAGTTCAAGTCCCAGCTCTGCTAAGAGCTCTATGTTGTCTGACAAGTCACTTGAGTTCTCCATGCCTTCTCTTCCATATCTATTTAGGGTTCAGCCATCTGTTGCCTACTATATACCAGCACTGACATTCTAGGATTCTGCGTGAGTTCTATTTTAATGCCCTTGGAGGTATTGTTTCTCTGGGCTCGGATGTGAATCTTCATAGCGCTCTCCAGGGTGCCTGGCACCTTTAAAAATAGAATGGATGTCACAGATGTCGAGGAATAGCATGAGAGGTTCTCAGGTGGCCATTTGCACAGAGATGCCTGGGAAACATTGAGCAAGGCTTGGCATCACTGCCAAGAAAGAGTGGGTGTCTTCCCTCCTTACATTTTGATCTGAAATATAAGCCAACATCCCTGTCATGGCAGCTGCTGGCAACTAGTCCATGTGGTGACCAGATGAAGATGTTCAGCAGAACATGGCTCTGGAAGGAGCCCAAATGAGAATCGATCTGTAAAGACTCTGCAGACAGGTACCAGGCAGGAGGAAGCAAAACAGGTAGACCATGCTCACCTGATCCCTGCCAAGACTCTCGCTCTCCTACTCTTGACCACTTTCAGGGCCCCTCCCAGGGGGCAAGAAGGGTCATCCAAAGGGATTCGCAATTATGAAGAGGATCTATGTTGGATGATGGGTGTTGTCTCTAAGATGCAGGGCTACAGTCATGGGAATATAAGAAGTAGACATCTGTCCTCCAACTTGAAGTTTGTCCCATTACTGGATCACACTACATTACAAATGACTGTTATAAATCCTATAGTTATCATGTGATGAGGATAACTGTTTCCCACTGTATTTGTGTAATAAAACACTACTCTATAAATTTTGCAACCTCATTTTGACATTCCTTAATTATTCTTTTAACATACTGGGAACTTTTAAAATGTGTAAGTGGCTAGGCTTTTGGTGACCAAACCTCTCATATTTGTGTTTTCCCCCACTCTGTTAGATTCAAACGGTGACCAAGAAAGTCCTGGTGGCTCCTCCATCAGATGAGGACAGCAATGCCACCAACGCTGTCATCTCCTTATTGAACGAGACTGTGATGGAGGCCCCTGAAGAAGTGAAGGTGGTTATCAAGAAGGGCCTGGAGTTCAAGGATGGCATGAATGTCTTAGGTAGGCAACCTGGTATTCCTGTCGGCAGGGAGACGATGGCCAGCCTGTCCTGCTTCTCAGCTCCTTGGCAGCCCTCCCTCCCTTCTCAGAAGACCAGTCGCTCTGCAGTTCTGTGGGTAGAGCAGGAGGCTCTCTCTGGAGAGCAATTTGAGGATGACAGAGGTCAATAGTTGAGAGATTAAGGAAGAAGGACAGGGGCAAGCAGAACCACGAGAGGACATGGCTACTAGGGGTCGGTTATGGGAAACGAGAGGGGACTAACATTCATTGGACACATTCCCTGACTCCACGTGGTATTGGCAAGTCACTTTCATGTCCATTTCATGAAGTTACACATCCAATTTTTTCATATTTGAAGCTTTTTTTTCTTTTGAGCTGCCCTTGTGTGTTAGTGTCATGCTAGACTCAGGGGCACCCCACTCTGGCTTTCTTAGTCTTTAAACAAATACGATATGATCAGGAATGTAAAGTGTTGGTATTGGTACTAAAAGGAGCTTATCAAAAGGGATCATCTTGTTTAACTTTCTGGGATTCCAGTGAGACCCTTCCCCTAGCCTGGAGCTTTCCTGGCATGCCTTGCCTTTGGTTCTTTGCCTCTGCAGATAGACAGACCAGGTTTGGATCCCTGATGGACCACTCACTGGTGGCCTGTCCATGGCCGTGTTGCTCCACTTCTCAAGCTTCACTTGTAAAGTGGGGATGAGATTGTATTTCTCTTATAGATGCTTATGAATATTAAATGAGATTGTACCCGTGGAGGGAGCACGGTAGCATATGCTATGTGCTGTATTCATGTGAGCTACTGTCATTATCCAAGGTGTATGGAGAGCTGAGGAGCTCAATAAGGAAGCACCCCGCAGAGGATGAAGATGCCCATCATGTGGGTGACTCCCGTTTGCTCAGTTTACTCCCCATCCACTTCCTGGGGCTACTCCCCACTGTACCCCACACCTACTGTTAGAATGGTGTCCCCTACACAAGAAAGAGGGATATTTGGCCCTAAGCTGGGAGGAATGGGGAAGCTGGGCAGAAGAAATAGATTGATCCACACAAGCAAAATTTCTAAGGATTTGAACGAGAGCTGGCTAGAAGCGGATTGGCTCAGTGGTCCTTCCATTTTGCCATCTAGGAGATCAAATGCCCCTGTCTCCTTAGTAGGGTTGTTGGATAAAGTTCTGGATGCCAACTTAAGTGTGAATTTCAGATGAACAACAATTCCAAATATTGCATGGTACATACCCATGGGACATACCAAAATAAAATATACTCATTATTTATCTGAAATTCACATTTTAACTGGGTATCCTGTTTCTTCGTTCTAAATTTCACAACCTTATACCTCACTTACCCAAAATGGTTGAGAGAAAGAGGTAGAGAAGAAGGATTTTCCAGGCACTGAAAAGCAGAAGCTTCAGTAAGGGATCTTCTTCATTTGGCCTGGTGGGAAATGGGTTGAGTAGTGAGAGCATGGGAGGAGATAGGCTGACTGGTTTGACAGTAATAGAAGATCAATAAATATTGTTGACTGTCAGTATGGGGTGACAGGAGGAAGGAGAGAAGACACAGTGGGTGAGTTCCTCTGAGGAGAGCTTGCAAATATCCTTGGTTTCCACCCCTGATCTAGCCCTTCTCGCCCACTGCACAGATATGCATGAGGCTTTGGGACCTTCCCAACCACGCTCTGTCCCCGAAGCCCCATGGTCAAAGTGACCCCACAGTCTTCTACATACTCTGGAGGAGGTTAAGGCCATGAGTAATGAGACCAAAGCTTTGGGGTGAATCATTTAGAAGGCTTTCATGGTCGTTTCCAGATTCTCGGTGGATTCTGGGAAGTCATGTTGACCTTGGGCTGCCCTGACTGGGGGTTTCAACACAACTCACTAACTTCTCAGCCCCAGTGACCAAGTCCAAGAGGGCTTTGTTCAAGTGAAACACCCCAGTTCCAGTAAGTGAGTTTAGTGAGGTGATGTTTACAGAGGGAAATGACATGGAAGTTGGACACGGGTGTGCAGCTGCAGGGTGAGCTCTAGAAAGCCAAGGGAAGTTAGACTGTTGAGAAACTTCCCATGTACAAATCATGGCTAAAACAAGATTCTTCCCTTGGTCTTCTAAGGGTGGAGAAGGTGGCTTTTTCCCCCCTTTTGGGGGGCTTTGGAAAGTCCCAAAGATCAGGCATTGCAGTAAGTGAAGACAAAACCCTGGCTCTGGCCTTCCTCTTCTTGAAGTACTCAGTGCTCTCTCCAAAAACCTCCATACCTCTTCTGAGCTCTGCTTTAACCCTAACCATTAAATTAATTCCTGGGAGAGTTTGCTCCTTCCAACTTCTCTCTCTCTCTCATATGATCGTTGTAGCCCAGTTTCTGCTGATCCCTCAAAGGGAGCTTTTTTATGCCAGCTCTTTGAGACTTTGAGACCTTGAGTTTTTTTTTTTCTTAAAATATCCAAATGGAACTGAGTAATACCACCAGAATATTCACAGATTATTTCTCACCACACACCTAGTAAACTCCTCTCCATGGACTTGAGAGAAGGGCTTGGGAATAACCCAAATTTCGGTTCTATATGTGACTGCAGAACCAAGTCTCTCTCCCCTGGTCATTAATTTTTACTAAGCCTGTCTTTAAGGCCAATAGCTCACTTGTAAGTCACTTGCAAGTTTTTCTGGATGAGAGCTGAAAAGGAGAAATATTCAGTACCAGGTATTAACCATCCTGAATACATGTGCTGGGTTCTTTTTGCTGAAGAGAGAGAAGGTCTAATGAATGATAGTTGAACAATCTGAGTTGATATGTGCTTGGTTTGGGGAGGCAAGTGGTTTGGGGGGGGCTGGCTAGGGAAAAGGTAAAGTCAGAGGCTCAGAGAGAAATAATTCCTCCCTAAGAGAATCAAATTATAATGCTATAATTTACCCAGTATAACTAGACTCTAGGCATAACTAGACACAATAGGAAATCAGATGTAATAGTAAGGACTGGAAATTAGGCTTGCTAAACTAGGATCGGGCAGGTGTAGGGAAGAGGAGGGAAGGAGAGGGTGTAGAGGAGAGGCCATATTGCACTTTAGAGAAAATGTCAAATGGGCATGCATTTGACCCCCTGTGGCCAGGGGGACAGCAGCATTGATTGATGGCTATGCAAGTAATCAGAATTGGAGCCCTGGGATTGTTAATAATGGGTCAGGAATGGGGTGGAAGCATATGGTGACTGGTAATCAGAAATCCAGACAGGCAATAGTGGGGATGTCTGTTTGCCATGTAGTGGCCCAGTCCCTGAGTGGGCCTGGGTGAGACTACAGGCTGGGGGTGAGACTCTAGGATAAGAATGGGAAGGAATGGTAGGAGAGAGAGAATCTTCTGGGGAGAGAGAAGCCAGGCCCAGCTTGGAGGAGCCAAAGTATATGGCAGCTTCCCAGGACAGATACTCTGGTAGAGAGAATGAGGCAAAGACAACATAGAGATAAGACCCAAGGGATCCCTGGGTGGCTCAGCGGTTTGGTGCCTGCCTTTGGCTAGGGCATGATCCTGGAGTCCTGGGATCGAGTCCCATGTTGGTTTCCCTGAATGGAGCCTGCTTCAATCTCTCTCTCTCTCTCTCTTTCATAAATAAATAAAATCTTAAAAAAAAAAAAAAAGACCCAAGGTTGGGTGTTGGAGCTTGTTCAGGACCTAGTGCAATTTGATGGGGACAGAATTCCTTGCATCCTTCCAGCCCGGGGTTAGGATTGACCCTTGAGGCTGTGGTGGGTCTGGATTTAGATGGAAGTCAAATGATGCCAAGTGAAGGGAGAAGAGGGCTGAGGGGCTAGGAGGAAATTACAAAGTCTATGTTCTACCTTTATGATACTGCCAAAAAAAAATGCAGTAAGAAAGGAAGCATTCTAACCGTTTTGACCATGAAAAGAATGATGAGAAATTAATAAATAGTTGGTTAAATGCACACAAACTGGGTCAGTTGGGGTTTTCCAACTGTTTTGGATTTCTCATTGCTTTCCATTTGATTTTTCAACATTCTTCCTCCTTCTCACATTAGGCATGTAGCATTAGAAAAATACTTTCATGGTCAGGATTTTCCTACAGTGAAACATACCAGCAACACATGATGTTGGGATAACACCAAACTAATGTAGACAAAACCCTGGCAGAGACTTTATTGGCTAATTGGTCTCTGCAATTCTAATGTGAGCTCCAAAGTTTGCATGATAATCCCCAAGTCCCAACAAGCCTTCCTTCATTAACCTATGTGCTATGGAATCTGCTTACCTCTGATTTCGTAAGTGAGGAGGAGAGAGAAGAGTCCTTCTGAGTTTGGAATAAAATGGAATTTGTTTTCCTCAAGTAATTAACATCGCTGACAGTTCAACTTGCTCTTGTGGGAAATGTTAAGGGATACCATAATTATCCGGGAGAAAGGTTATTTTCTGTGTGAAATCGAATGGCTAATTCAAAGGGCAACAGGCAGGTGAGAAGGTGGCTCCCTATGTCGGGAATGGTGAAGGAGGGAGAAGAGAGACATATTGTGTAATCTGTCCTGTGTAATGTGATTCGCCCAACAGGTCTGATAGGGTTTTTCATTGCTTTTGGCATCGCCATGGGGAAGATGGGAGAGCAGGCCAAGCTGATGGTGGAGTTCTTCAACATTTTGAATGAGATTGTAATGAAGTTAGTGATCATGATCATGTGGTAAGTGGGCTTGTTCTTACTTCAGTGTGGCAGGGGATGTCCAAAGGTCTGGGGGTCCTCGGAAGATAATGGAGCCTTCCTAGCAGGAGAGAGTGGGTAACCGTGGACCAAGCAAAGGGCTCTCCAAAAATACTTGAGAAAGGGATGAAAATCTCTTTTTGGAAGCTTCCCCTAGAAAATGAGTTGAAAACTATGGCACATCCTTGGGCCAGATCCTTTCTACTACTTGTGTAGCATGGCCTACAAATTAAGAGTGGGTTTTATGTTTTTCTGTTGCTGAAAAATAAAATCCAAAGAGAAAAATATTCCACACACATGGAAATTATATGAGATTCAGAGCCCATAGATAAAGTTTTATTGGCACGCAGCCACACCCATTCATTCACATCTTGTCTAGGGTTGCTTTGTGCCAAACAGCAGAATTAAGTATCAGTTCTGACCGAGACTGTGGAGCCTGCAAAGACTGAAGTATTTACTATTTGACCCTTCACATAAAAAGTCTACTGATCCCTGCCAGTGGGAAAATAAAAACAACAAAAATCAAAAGGAGAGATAAGCTGGAAAAACCAACTAGTGGTACTGACACTGAGCAGTATCAGGAAACACCAGGATAAGTCCAAGATACCAGGGATGATATGACATGATCCAGAGGGTGTGGAAGGACCACTACTCTAATATTCTGGTGTTCAAAAGCAATTTATGGAATGCTCATCACTCAGAAGGAAAAAGAGGCCATTTTCAGGCCATGCAAGGGAAAGTAAAATCACAGAGGAAAGATTAGAGTTATAAATGCTCTTAGAAATGTGGTTCCAGCCTCTAGTTGTAGAGACAGGGAATCTGTCTCATCTCTTCTCTAGAAGAGAAGGCTGTGGCCCAGAGTCACTAAATCTTGATTCTTTTTTTTTTAAATCTTGATTCTTAAACAACATCATGATCATTCTAATAATAAAAGCTATCAATTATTGATTTCCTTTTACCTGCCAAGAGCCACGATAAGTGCTTAGTACCTATCCAATGGAGTCTCAATAACACTGCAGAGATGGCATCATGACTCTCATTTCCTGGAACAGGGAACTGAAGTATATTGAGTTGAATTAATTTGCTTAAGATGACGTAGCTAGAGGGAGAAGAGCTGGGGTTCCTGTTGATTCGCAATCCTTGATGCGTAAGTGGGTGGCTTTTTTGTTTGAATTATCTAAGCAATACTGTACTCCACTTCATTTCGTGTCTGCTTATGGTCAGTGGCTCTGAAATCTAGGGCAGTTCAGGAGAGCATGAGCATCCACTCCCTCATGAAGGAAGCTGTATCGCCTGCAGAACCTTCTAGTGTCCCATATCTCTCAGATGGAAAGATTTTTACATGCTTTTGTGCTAGACCTCTATGATGGTCTGGTATGCCTGCCTAGAAAAAAAAATAAAACCATTATTAATCTAAATGACATTGTGTCCTCTCTGTCACAAAAATTCTGGATTAGAAATTCCCTGTCTCTACGTGTTCCCATCCTGCCCCCCTACCCAGTCCTCCTCTGATCTTTTTTTTTTAAGATTTTATTTATTTATTCATGAGAGACACACACAGAGAGAAAGGCAGAGACACAGGCAGAGGGAGAAGCAGGCTCCATGAGGAAGCCCGACGTGGGACTCGATCCCGGGTCTCCAGGTTCACACCCTGGGCTGAAGGTGGTGCTAAACCGTTGAGCCACCCAGGCTGCCCCCTTGTCTGATCTTTTAGGTCTATGTGGTGCCCTCCACTAAAATTCTACCTTTTTTTTCTCTCTTCTTCCTTTCATTGGCTCCTGCCCCTGCTTTACAAGGGCAAAAATCTGTTCTTGATTTATTTTTTATCTCCACAGAACCGAACATTGTGATGGGCTGCTAGTAATTTCTTACTAAAACCTCAGGAGTGAGCGGGCTAGCGGAAGATCCCAAGGTCTCAGATCAAGAAGGTGTTCCTCATGATTGCATGAACCATATTTACTAGATTTGGCTGGTTCAGATCATTGCTTTGTTGTACTTTTAAAACATGGATAGGATGCTGGTAAAATAATGTGTGTGTGTGTATGTGTGTGTGTGTGTGTTTATTGTACTGGTGCTTCAGCTTCCCAGGCAGTCCTAGATTTCTGAATATTTCTTTTGTATAAAAATTTAAAGTCATACACAGTGTGATGCTCTAAAAAATCTGTTTAGAGTCTTTTAGATCCATCTGAGCTTGCTGAGAACTTAATAAATGATAATGCATAAAGCAGAAATATGCCTCTTGGTAGTAAACATTACCATCTGCCCTGGTCTCCTGGAATGTTTAGCAGGACAAGCATCCTTGCTCTAAAAATACAGTTTGTATTTCTGTCTCAGGATGCCAATGATGTGGACAATGTCATTTCCACTGAGCCCATGGAGGAAAGGAATCTAGGAGATGAGATGAATCATGGGATAAAGTGTGTGCTCACTTCTCTGCAGGGATGAAGGGTGTGGATCAAGGTTTCCTGTTCACTGAAACCAAAACTCCTAAAGATTTAATATCAAATCCCAGGAGATGCAGAGCAGTTATGAGTCAGGATAAGGCCTATGGAATGATTTCTGATAGCTGTTCAGTTACCTCAGCTAGACAAACAATCAGGAGGGTGTTACATGACATGAGACGCCAATTCTACACATTTCTTTCATTCTTGAGCTGCCTCGTCAGCATTGGGTAACGATGTGTGTGAGAAAGTTTTGGGTAAAACAGTCAATTGCTCTTTAACTGACCCCCTCAAAGCTTAAATGACCAGGTCTTTTGTATTCTTCTCTGTGTGGTAGTAAGAATAGTGTGAATAGTAAAATATAACATTGCAGAGATGACTGTTATTCTAATAATAATTATTACTGAATTATAACGTAGTTATTAAATTCTTGCTATATGCTTAGTACCACCTCAGTTGTTATGCTCTACCTATTTATTATTGAGGAACTAATTATTATTATCATAATTATTAAACCATAATTAGTATTTGCCAAATTCCTGCTATATATATACTTAATAAATACTATTCCAGTGGCTTTACATATATTAACTCATTTATTTATCTCAATATTACCTAACAAAAATAGACACTTTTGTTAGCACCATTTTCCAGATGTGAGGACCAACCACAGAGGTTAACTTGCTCAGCGTCGCACGGCCTAAGTAATGGGAATGGTGCAGGAGTGGCGCCTTATTCAGCTTCTGTCTGACTTCACACTGGAGTGAATCCAACTGATCCTTCTATTACCAACTGTGTGACTCTAGGCGGGTTAGACACATTTTAAACCGTACATTTTGACCTGAATGGATTGATCATAGACTCAACGTCCTAGGGTTGCTGTGAGAATTGAGTGATATTGGGACTAACACTTACAAAGCATTTCTCATGTGCTGGGACCTGTCTAAATACTTTCTATGAACCACTATTATCATTGTTATTATTTTGTGGTTGCCATTAATTACCATTACAATTATCAATGCAATCCATATTTTTTGTTTCTCTGTGTTCATGGACTCTTCTTTAAGAAGCATACAAGGCCCTCTGATTCACCAAAAAATAGAAAAACCCTTAATTTCAGTATGATTTTCATATCCCCATTCCTTGCAAATTTCTTTAAAACATTTTTTTCAGTCTGAAAATCTAAACAGAAAGTAAAACTTTACATAATTTCACCACTATAGAAAGACAAAGTGAGAAGTGCGATCTCTACTCACTCTTTCAGTTCTCCTCCTTGTTAACTCTCTGACACCATCCATCCATCCATCCGTCCAATCAGGTATCCATCCATCCATCCATTCTTTCACTCCATAAATATTTTTTGAACCCCTCTTCTATGCCAATAACAATTTTAGGTCCTGGTGATATAAGCGTGAATAAGACAGAGAAAAATTCAGGCCCTCATGGAGCCTACGTTCTATTGAAAGGAAAGAGGGAAAGAATAAAAGGAGAATAAAGAATAAAAGAGGGAAAGAATAACTAAGAATTCAGACAGGAATCAGTGAAAAAGTCAGTAACCAGGACGGGGGGCAGAGAGTGATGGGGGATGCAAAGTATGGATTAGACTCTTTCCAGAGGATCCAGGAGGGCTGTCTAGGGAAGCGACTTTTAACAATGACCTGAAGAATGAAAAGAGAAGAAAATAATTTGTTCCAACTGGGTGACGGGCACTGCGGCGGGCACTTGATGGGATGAGCACTGGGTGTTATTCTATATGTTGGCAAATTGAACGCCAATAAAAAATAAATTTATAAAAATAAAAATAAAAAAAGAATGAAAAGAGGTAGCTCTGTGAAGAACTCACAGGAGAATTTTCCAGAGGGAGGAAATAGCAAGTGAAGGGTTTTCGAGGGTCAGAATGAAGATCTAGAGTAGCCACAATGTGATTGGTTGGTGAGGGGAGTGGAAGGCTGTGGAGTTGGGAGAGGAGGGTAGGAAGATGACCCCATAGGCCCTTGCAGGCTACGGTGATGAATTGGGGTGTGTTTACTTGCTAAAGGAAGTCCCTGGGGGGCTACAAGCTTGGAGGCTCTACATGTTCATTTTCCCTCTATCCTGATTAAAAGTTCTAATCCACACATAGTAACTCTCAGCAAAGTCACTCCTTGGATAACCAGAACACCTGTCTCTAAGTGGACTGGGAAAAATGGAGATTTGTGTTACTTTTTGAGCCTGAATACAGACAACACCTTTAGGTAACTCTTAGAATGTACATTTAGCTGTTTATTGACAGACACTTCCATTTCTTAGTTCTCATGGGGTCTGTCCCAAACTGGCAGACTAGTATTGTTATTGGAAACCAATAGCAGTGAGGGATGCAACCAGAGTGACTTAGGCAAGACTGAGAAAGTCCCTCCACTAATCTCCATCTACGTGTCTGATCTACCATCTGTCCTGTGGCTAAATGTCCTGAATTAATTACTTTAATGAGTTAAGACAAAAAGCCTTGAATCCGTTGGAGCTAACTAAAGGGTTTCTAAATGCTAAACAAGTAATATCTGCATTTCTTTAGTTGTAGAGCACATTTTATCCCTTGAAACATTGGTTTCCAAACACATCAGAATTACCTGGACAACTTGTTTAAAATATAAATGCCCCCAGGTCAGCTCCAGGAAATTCTAACTCAATAGATACGTGGTGGGCCCAGGGAATCCACGTTGTTACCAGCTAGGCCAGGTTGATTCTGAAGCTGGTGTCTGTGGATGCCCAGGGACAGTGAGGTCTGGGTATGTTAAATTCTGTGTACGAGTTTGTTTGTGGAGTAGGGAGCAGTCTTGGGAAAGGCATCTCAGTGGGAATCCGAAGATGACAAGGACAGAGGTACAGAGTGGATGGAGGCAAGAAAGGATGATGCCAGGACTGGCCTGGCAAGTAACGTTGACATCAGTACCCAGGGCTGCGGATACAAGCAGCCCAAAGGCAGTGTGGAAGGCATTCTCTCTCCCCACTCTGCAGTCGTGTCTTTCATTTAGAAACTGGTCCAATAATTACTGGGCACCATTTGGCTTCAGAACCTTGCTGGAACCCCCAGTCTCTTCATGCACTGCGGTTTATGGCTTCGATTGTTTGCTTCATCTCAGAAGCTTTACGTGGTGACCTTGAATCCTGGGCATTTGCCCTTTCCTTTCCATGGAGTGTCATTTTCAGTGATAATTACATAGAGACCCAGGAACTCAGAAGCTCCAGCTTTTGAGTAGAAGCTTAAGCCACTCGTTTTGAAAACAAGTGCAGAGAAGGAAGTAATGGCCCTAAAAGATGCCACAGAAGACAAAGTCTCTTTCCTTGCCCTAATTAATGCTCACTCTAGTTCTGGAGACCTAGGTGTTTGGGTTAACTAGGGCCCCTGCTTGCCATATTTATTTACCCTAACACTCTACCTTCTGGCCTTTGAGTAACACTCTCCATTGACTGTAGGAACTCTCGTTTCTCCCAGTGAGCTGAGTGCTCTGGAGGTAACCTGTTTCCTCTTTCTGATCCATTTGGCTCTGGCTCAGGTATGTTCTCCAGAGTGACTGTATGGCTGGTCTTGCTTGGGAAAGAGCCTTGAAAACACTTTCTCTTCATTCTGCAAATTGCTTGTCCCAGAAGAGCAGGAAAATTGAATGGCTCATGTTTGTGTTTTTCTGGACATCTTTAAAGGATGATTGGTGCTTGTGAGTGAACTGATCTCTTGGTTTATGAAGACAAATGCTTGTTGGCTATATTGGAAAGTGTATTGTGCTCAGTTACTTACAACCCCCTGGGACAAAGACTTGGCCCCTCAGACTACCCCACTGATCTAGGAGATGCTGTGACCATGGACACACCAGGAGAGTGTAAAATGGCAAGAAAGCCAAGGGTTTGAGGACATAGCTCCCTTATGTCTGCAGAAACGGCCCTCAGATATTGCCAGCCTTTATCCCAGGGAAGATGTGGAGGCTACAGGCTGGATACTCACCAAGGAAGAGAGCAGCTATCCTACAGTTTTCAATTAAGTATGGACAATTATAAATCAGTTCTTTCAGAAGGTTCCTCTTGACAAAATATTTTGCTCATAAAACCCTCTGCCATTGGGTGGCAGTAGTCTGTGAATTGGTTTAGAAAGCCTTGTTAACTCAGAAAGCCTTGTTAACTCAGACTTGACTCTTTAAACACAGCGGGGGAGAGGACATGGTGTACATGTGTGAACACAGAACATGCAAAGGATTCCTTGGTCAGCAGTCAGAATGGTGCTGATAGGGACGGGGATGGGATTTTGACAGGACACACATACGCATGCTCGAAAATGCAATCCTTGCAGCCATCCCATGAGGTTGGAGTTAGCCTAAGCCTTGACTTCCACATTTATAAAATGGGAATAAGTCACTAACCCGGGTCATGTAACTGGTAAGTGACCGGACAAGCTCTGTGTCTTATGTAATTGTGTATATAATTCTCATCTACCCACATCTTTTCTTTATCCAGGAAAGGGCTTGCTTCAGGCACAATTGCAAAAAATAAAACAAAAAAAACACAAAAAAACACCCCCCCCCAAAAAAAAACCCCACCAAATCTGGCTTGGTGTCTATCTCTCTTTCCTGACTCCTTCCTCAAGCTGGGGGCCTTATCTTGGGATGTCATTTCCCCCAGTCTTTTTCTCAAATAAGTTCATAGGGATGCCTGGGTGGCTCAGGTCATGATCCTGGGATCTTGGGGTCGAGTCCAACGTTGGACTCCCCCACAGGGAGCCTGCTTCTCCCTCTGCCTATGTCTCTGCCTCTATCTCTGTGTCTCTCATAAATAAATAAAATCTTTTAAAAAGTCAAATAAGTTCATAATTCTTACTAAGAGATCAACTTTCCCACAAACATTTTCATTTCAGTCAGAAGGTGTCGCAGGCTGAGCAAGTTTCTGCTCCAACACTACAAGATTGGGCAATAGAAAAAGGATGTTGCCCAACATGGGAAAAATACACTCAAGATGAGAGAGCGTGGTTAGCGTACTGAAGAGTGAGGACAACAGTAAATCGTTTCCAAGTTCCCCATCAAATAATAATAAGATAGACATTTAAAATAAGATACTACATAGAATAAGTTGGTACATGGTAGACTGTCGGCTTATCTACAAAGAGCAACAATTGCTCATTAAAGGAAAGTGGTCTGGTTGGGTAAGGGAAAAACAACCCTTGGAGTGTCACCGGCCCTGAGATTGTTCTCCTGCTGTTTCCTGGTTTTGTGGTCTTGGACTGGTTATTTGACTTTTCTGAACTTCAATTTCCTCGTTTGCCAAATAAGAACAATGATACCTTGATTTCAGGGTTGTGGTAAAAATTAGATGAGGCGATATGTGCAGAGCTCTTACTGTAGTGCTTGAGACACGGGGCATGGTGGCCAGCACTCCTGTTACAGTAAGTATGGAAAAAAACACTTTCAGACTTAGAAGTAATAAAACCACATTTCTTTAAATGTAGCCCCAGCTCAGTTTTCTTGTTTTGGCAGGTGTGTGTGTATGCGTGTGTGTGTGTGTGTGTGTGTGTGTCATATTTTAATAAACTTTCTATCTTCCAAGGCAAATACAAAGCAAATTTAGAAACACCAGCTTCCAGCTTGGTGAAACTCTTAATGAGCTTTCTGGGAAGCTCACAGTGGATTCCCAGTTTTCAAGTTGGGGGAACAGGGAAACCAAACAAAATTCTCAAAGAATCTATGCCTCTCAAGCTTGGTACTTACCTGGGAGATGATAAAGCTAGTGTCTGTTACTCCTAAAAATCACCTGGGCAACAGAGCTCACCTTGGGAGTTTCCAGAACAGGGGCCTCCACATCCATTGAACAGATTTCAGATCGTGCTGGTAAGTCTGAAGTAAAATATAGCAACTGTCGAATCTCATGGACTTCCTCCAAGCAAAACTCTTTGTACAGAAAAAGCAAAGGGCTTTCCTCAGGGTGTGGTACATGTAAAGCCCAGATATAAGCTGTGAATTCCATAAGGATCTCTTCAATGTTTTTTTTTTTTCTTTTATGTTTTTCAGGTACTCTCCCCTGGGTATTGCCTGCCTAATTTGTGGAAAGATCATTGCAATCAAGGACTTAGAAGTGGTTGCTAGGCAACTGGGGATGTACATGATCACGGTGATTGTGGGCCTCATCATCCATGGGGGCATCTTTCTCCCCTTGATTTACTTTCTAGTCACCAGGAAAAACCCTTTCTCCTTTTTCGCTGGCATTTTCCAAGCTTGGATCACTGCCCTGGGTACCGCTTCCAGGTAGAGAATACAAGAAATCACCTTTCTTTCTCTCTGCTTATTCCTTTCCCATCCTGCCACTTCCTCTTTGCAAAAGGCTTTCATCACAAAGTTCAATGAGAACATGTTTCACATATTATTAAAATATTCTGAAAAAGGTGGCAAATGCTTTGTATTTCTGGCTCCTAGGAACTTAGAAGCTTTCTGATGAACATTTTTGCTGATATGCAACCATCCTGGAAACATCTCATATTAATTTCCCAAACAGATGCACGCTGTTAATCTGCATGCCTAACTTGCCACATGTTGTGTTGGTTTAGTTTTAAATGTTTTCCCAAAAGGATGTAGCAGGATGTTAAGCTATTTAAGAATTTCTCCCACCTGTGATTTGAAAAATGCTATCACAAAATATCACTCCATTGGAGTTATTTCTCAAAAGTAGAAAAAAAATGAGCTTTTGTTTGGTAAACATATTAGGTGAGATTAAAAAAGAAAAAGAAAAAAGAAAAAAACAAACACACCAGAAGTCAGTCAAGTCTGTGATCTCTGCATGAACCCCTCATGGACCATTCTTCCCCACTGATTTTGAGAAAATCGGGTTGGCATTGGTTGAACTTGACATTGAGAGTCTGTTCCTTCTTCATTAACTAAGCTCCCGGGCATTTGAAGCCAATGAGGATTCCAGAGATATGCAGAGAAAAAAAGAATATATAATTTTGGGTATCTTGGACTGAATTAAGCAAAAACAAACAAAAACAAATACCTAAGAAACACCTGGCTATTTAGAATTTCAAAGACTGAAGAGTTTTATTGTCTTAGCCTATACTAGTCATTGGTATTTCTGCACAAAACTAAGACTGAGATCATGAAGCCAGTGGCCGAGAGGCAAGCACACTCTGCAGCCCCTAGCTCAGCATTGTCTCGAGTCACAGGTTGGCACGTCCTTGTTGTTGAGGCTGTGACCATGCATTGCCAGTGAAATGGCCACAGCGTGACAGCCATTCCAAGGCTACTTACTTAGCAGGCAGTCAGGTTTTCCTTAAGTGGCCCGACAGGACGATAATGATGACCACCTGAGAACCCAAATTTGTATTTCCATTTTGCCAATCAATGAGATTTTGGTACTCGTAGAATGTGGGATTTCAGAAGATGCTAAAAAATATCTAACTCCGAGGGTCAAGATTCTGCATTCAGTTTCCCAAGATGAAGGGAAACACCTTGAAGTTGCCTTTTTCCTTCTTGGTTTTATATATTTTATATGGCTATGTATTTCTAAACATAAAGATCCCTTCTCTTTGGAGAAAACGTAAGTCTTTTTTTTTTTTCCCAAAACAATCATGGTTCATTTTACATTTGTTTTCTGGTTATGAATGTGGTATTTACTCATCGTGAAAAAGTTCAGACAGTAAAGTTTTGAAGAATAAAATGAACATCACCAGTTATTCTATTGCCCAGAGATAATTAATGGTAACCCTTTCAGTGAATCTTAACAGTTACATATTTTTTCCAGTTTTTACTACGTGTACATGTTGTAAACTGCTATTTTTCACTGGTCGACATATCATAAAAGTTCTATCAATATAGATCTTCCTACTCTTCTTAAATGGCATAATACTACACTGTGGGGTGCTGCAGTACAACCCCACCTCCACTCTGTGGTGTACAGTTAAGACGTGTCTGTTAAGCAGGGTGGGACCAGCATCCTTCTTTTTTTTTAAATACATTTTTAAAAAGATTTTATTTATTTATTCATGAGAGACACAGAGAGAGGGGCACAGACATAGGCAGAGGGAGAAGCAGGCTCCATGCAGGGAGCCTGATGTGGGACTGGATCCCGGGTCTCAAGGATCACGCCCTGGGGGCGTTAAACCACTGAGCCACCCGGGCTGCCCAGCATCCTTCTAAATACATCTTGGCAAGCTTGTCTGATGATCCCCTCAGGCTAAATTTACAGAAGTGGAATTTCTGAATCCAATGGTAAACACACCAACTGTTTTAAAAACAGGACACCAGATTGCTGCTCAGAAAATTCGTTAGTGTACGTCCTCACTAACTGGGTGTGAGAGTGTGCCTTTTCCCACCTACTCACCAGCCCTGGATATTATCAGTCACTTTAATACTTTCCAATCTTACTGGTGCAAAATGATCTCATTGATTTTGCATTTCTTTGATCACTAGTGAGGGGAAACATCTCTTGGTATTTTTATTGATCATTCTCCCCCACCTCCCCCACCCTGCAAATTGTTTGTGATGGTCCTTTCCTGTTGGGGAATTCATCCATTCTTGATTGGCCTTTAGCTGTCTTCATGTATAAAAATATTAACTCATGTGTCACATGTTGCAAATGATGTTCCTCTCCACCTGACACTTGTCTTGAAAAATTTGTCCGCCTGACATATGATGTTCCTTTCCACCTGACACTTGTCTAAAAACTTTGCTATGCTTTGCACCCTGAGTTTTTAATTTCCGTATTATTGAAGTTGTCAGTGATTTCATTTAGTATTTAGAATTTTGACTTTTTTCCCCCCTCAGGAACCGCACCACCAAAACCTATATAATATTACTTTATATTTTCTTCCAATATCTTTGTGGTTTTGATCTTTAAGTCTTTCAAAAATATCATTATCTCTCCTTTGAATGACTGGACAGTTATGCCAGCATGTTTATAAGACAAGGTAAATCCTAAAGGCATATGAATGACCCAAGTTCTTATTTAAATCAGACAAATGCTTGGGTTGTCTGGCCAAGGCCACAGAACTAGACCCATTTCTCCTGATTACCCTGTATTTCAAGTGACTTTAGTCTTTGGTTAAAATGTGGCTTTTGCCTGGATGTGGAATTTCTTAAAAAAAAAAAAAAAAAAAAAAAAAAACACGTAAAAAAAAATGTGGCATGAGTCATACACTAAGAACTAGCTCTGCCATTATGACCAGAGGGAAAAAACACAAAGCCCCAGTACAGCCAGCTAAATATACTTTCTACCTCCTTAGACCTTGGACTAAAGGGGAAGTGGGATGGGTTGACTCCCTTTTCTCAACAGGCTGGTGTCAGGGAGGATTGATGGAGGGCAGGGACTGGGACTCACCTCTCTGCATCCTGCAGACATCAGTTGAAACGCCTCTGGAAAAAAAAAAAAAAAGAAGCCTATCAAGTATCTACTAGTTATTATTAGCAATTTTGAAAACTGTCATATGGTCCCTGAGGCAGGAGCAAAAAAACAATGTCAGAATGTTGGAACGGGAGGAAAGAGTTAACATTCTCAAGTACCAGTTTGGATTGATTGGGTATATATGGATTTTTAAGACACAAAGCCTGTCCAGTAAAGAAAGTGAGAATATTTTCATGACTTACCAACTATTTTCTCCAATCTATTTGTCTGAAGTCCTCTTGATGACGTTTTGGGAAAATGGATACAATAATAAAAATTAACATATTCCAGTCCTCCTAGAAGTCCTCCCCTTAGATTCATACATTTAGAATCCCAGCCACCAACTACAGCTGTCATTTCAGACTAGTCATGGTGTCCTGGCAACCCTTCAAAGGGGTCCTAAGAAAGGGTGGGGTGGGGATGGGGTCTCATTAAAACAACTGGGACAGCCAACAGGTATAATGACCCCAACTTTTCTCCCTGGGTTTGTAAGGTTTTAGTAAGGAGAGGTCTCCAAACATTCATTTCCTCTTCTTACGTGAGACCAAGGAGAAGGCATGAGACCCCTGAGCTGAAATCACAAAGAATGTTCCCATAAGAGGACTCTGGCTTCCATAATGTTGTTAGTGGGAGCCCGTGGGCCAGTGGTTTAATAAGATGCAGACTTAGCTGACCCTCACTTTAGAGCTTCTGGTTTCTGTTTCTGAGTAGGCCCTGGAATCTGCATTCTATTTAGCTTCTCTGAAGCTGATGGCTCTCTCCCACTCTCTGGGAAACTGAGACCTCTGGCAGGTGTCTGTGTTAAGCTTGGCAGGAGCCCTAATTCTGACCAGTAGAAGGAGGGAACTTGACTAAGACTGTCAGTGCATGGTTGGAAAAGGTATGTCTGCATCTCATTCACTTTGCTAAGGTTTGAATAGATTAAAAAAAAAAAAGCCCCCAAAAACAAACAAACAAACAAACAAACAAAAAAAAAAAAAAAAAACAACCAAACCCCAAAGAGAATGGACCACAAAGCATTCACATGGCAGTTTGGGTGTTCTGCATTTCTTCCCATATTACTTAAATTTTGAAGCAAATCCACCTACTTTCCCATGTGCCTCTCTCCACATGGAAATAATATTTTGGCTGTCAGTAACCCTTATCCTTACAGATCTCTTAATTTAGAAGACACTTGAACATGTCAGGGGTTCTGGCCCTTGAGGCTGGGTCATGGGGTCATGAATTCCTCTCCCAGGCCTGAGATGAGCAGTGGTGGAGTCACTCCATCTTTACTGGGTCTTTGCTTAGCTACAGAGCACATGCTTTTTGCCCTATGCCGTTGCAAGACTGTACAGTTGGCCAATGACCATGTATCAGGGAGTAGACTGTCTCTGAGGGTCCCTGGTGAATTGCTAGAAGCTCAGGTTCAGGCTAAATGGTGTTTAACATGTTTGTCCAGCGTTCTCAAAATTAGTTCAGGGCAATTCCCAGAGGCTGGATGCAGCCCATGTAGTCATCTTGTTGGAAAGTGTTCCTAGCATGAAATTATGGGTCATTCAAAAATTCCTCATTCCACCTCACTGTTGACAGCTTATTGTTTTCTGACACATTTCTTCTTTTTTTGCAGCTCAATTAATGTGGTCAATCAGATGGTCTTTAATATTTGATCCAAGAGGGAAACACTGATCAAAGGAAAAAGAATTTGAAGCTCTAAGTTGATCTCAAAAACCAGGACCAACAAAAAGAGCTTGCAGCTTATGAGCATCTTAATAAGATTGAATTTGAAACTCTAAACAGCTGGTCTTTAATTTGGCTCCAGACACTGCTTTCTGCAGGTCACGCTGCTTGATTGGAACAAAAGAACAAACATTTTGTGGTGGCATTCCAGATTGTGTTTTGTCCTGCTTCTCTAAAGTGGACATGAACTGGTCTCTTCCTTTCTCTCTTTGTTCCTTAGTGCTGGAACTTTGCCTGTCACTTTCCGTTGCCTGGAAGAAAATCTGGGGATTGATAAGCGCGTGACCAGATTTGTCCTCCCAGTCGGAGCAACCATCAACATGGACGGTACAGCCCTTTATGAAGCAGTGGCCGCCATCTTTATTGCCCAAATGAATGGTGTTATCCTGGACGGAGGCCAGATTGTGACTGTGAGGTGAGTGGAGTGTGGGTGGGGGGAGCATTGAAATGACTTTTTGCCCTGCCCCCTTTCATACTAACTCCTTTTGATGGGGCCATTTGAATTTCAGTTTCCCTCGTGGAAGAATGATGAAGGAAATAACACAGAAGAGGAGCTATTGGCAGTCTCAAAGGGAAAATATTATGACAGGAAAGAAGCAGGCTCATGCTTAGGCCTGTTTGTAGCGCACATGTGAAATTGCTTTGGAAATTTGTTATTACTTGATTTTTTTTTAAACAATCCTGTGATGTTGCAAGGCAGTTATGTCTATGCCCATTTAATAGATGAGAAAGCACAGGCTTCAAGGGCAGGGTAGTTTGTCCAAGGCTACATCATTAATAATGAGCCAGGAGGGCTGTAACTGGGGACCATGTCGGCTGACTCTGGATCCACTTTTCCTTTCATTAAAATATGTTCCCTTCAGCATTTTCAGAGGATGATGGCAGAAATGATGAAATGCTGGGAGAGATTTCTCAATACAACATAAACCATTTTATTACAAATAAATCATGAGTATAGATCCACATGTCTTACTAAATCTATTTTTACCATATGTATTTGTTCTTTAAGAAATTCAGGAAGAACACTTTCCTAAGAGGTCATTAAAAACACATTACTTCTCTGTAAACTTAAAGATCACACCTACTTGCATATATTAATTTATCTAAGCCTTACAACCACCCTATGAGGTATGTACTTGTCTTAGCTCAGGCTGCTGTAACAGAATATCATAGACTGGGGCGGGGCGGTGGGGAGGCTCGAACAACAGACAATGATTTCTCATGGTTCTGGAGGCTGGGAAGACCAAGACAAAGGTAATTGGCAAATTCAGTTCCTGGTGACTGTCCTCTTCCTGGCTAGCGTATTACTGCCCTTCTTGCTGTTTGCTCACCTGGCCTTTTCTTGGCATGTGGAGAAAGAGAGAGAGAGAGAGAGAGAGAGAGAGAGAGATTCCATGCTCTTGTATGTCTCCTCTGATAAGAGCACTAATCCCTCATGACCCCCCCAGAAAGGCCCTGTCTCCAAACACCAACCATCACATTGGAAATTGGGACTTCAACAAATGGGTTTGGTGCAGGGGACACAGCTCAGTCCATAACAGTACTTTGGGAGGGTGGGGAGGAGCTCAGTTTCCTCGTTGGTATATTGGGGACAATAATTATACATTCTAGGGGGTTGAGAGCATTGTACCTGGGACATAGTCACCTGTCAATAAATGCTAGCTACTAACATTATTGCTATTACTGATGGTCAGTGAAATACAATACTTCTAGAATGTGAAAGAAAAACGTGACAGTGATGTATTGAGTGCCATGATGTTACTCAAGGGGAAATGTGCTTCAGATTGGGTACCACGCCTTCTAAATCGCATCACATCATCACAGGATGCATGAGAGACTGCCAATCTCTCTTGCTTTAAAACACAGAGACAAAAAAAGAAAAGAAAAAAGAACCTTTCCAGAACAAGTATCACCAGGTCCATATGGAGTCACTGGTGAATTCTACCAAAAGTTAAAACAAAACAAAACAAAAAACCTCAGAGACAAACAAAAGATGAAGCCCCTCCTTTTGAAGCCAAACAAGATGATTTCTGGTCACTGAATTCTTGACCCTGAGGCCAACAACATTTCCCATTGAGTTCACATCGTTAGATGAAAACTTAAGAGATGGAGGGTGGACTGGTGACCAATGATCGGAATTACTTAATTCAATTGTCAATGTTGGAGGGATTGGGTTCGGAGTGGGGGGTGGGGGGCAGCATCAGGGGCTGGCACGGCATCGCAGTCAAGCAGATGAGTGTTCCAATCCCAGCAGACTATGGTCAAGCTGTTTGACCCAAAGTTTCTCCATCTGCCCAATTTGTGGTTTCCCCTGTGGAAAGCAGATCCTACCATATGTACCTTGCAGGGTTACTGTGAGGCTCTGCTGTGACCATGTGTGTGTAATACTCTGTACTGCATCCAAGAACCAGCCCTAGAGAAGTGAGCCAGGGAGTGGAAGGACAGGAAAAGTGGAAAGGGATAGAGAGGTGGGGAGGAGATCACTGTCCCTCAGAAGCCATTGCAGGATATAGAATGCCCCGGACACTCCGCCCATGGTAAGGTGAGGGGATTAATTGGGATGGACGAGCAATGGGGGGACCACCATTGGGCCCCCCAATATACAGGAAGAATTCTCTGTATAGGGTTTTGTCTCAGCCCAGGGGGGACCAGACCATGTGGCCACAGTGCAAAGGGATGTGTAAGAATGACTCATAACAGAAGCAACTGGTGTTGTAAATAAACGGCTGAGGCCGTGACCGTTGGAACTTGGGAAGTCCCCCTTTCCTGGTGTTCTATCCATGTCAGGGAAATGGCTGAGAATTCCCACCTTCTAACTCTTGGGGCTTTAGGGAAGTTTCTCTTGCAAAGCAGCCTCACCCTGCCCAGATTTCCCGATAAGAATAACAATTCATATTTATTTGGGGGGTTGCTATGTGCCCGGCTTTGTATTATTAGCTTTTTATTTATTAGCTCTTGATGATCCTTTCTTAAAGATAAGGAAATCATGGCACAAAGAAGTTAAGTAAGTTGCTCAGAGTCATGTGGTTAATAAGTGACAGAGCTGGGATTTGAATCCAGCTTGTTCCATTCCGTAATCTTCATTGATACCCACTATATACTATTACCTCCTATGACCCAGAAGGATCCAAGGAAAATGGAGTTCTTTAAGCTTTGACAGCAGCTCCACATTGAGGGGGCAGGGGAATAGCGCAGATGGGGAGGTGTCTGTATGGTGACAGGCCTCAATCTGGAGGGATGGCAGTGTGCAAAGACCAGTGCAAACCACAAAACCTCCTAGAGCCTTCCTTTCCTCATATGTAAGATTAGGCAAATTCAGGTCCCTCCCAACTGTAAGACCCAGGTTTCTGTGCTTGGTCACAGCGATGGTCTGGGCTCAGTTAAACCAGTCTGGGAGCCCAACTCTTAGTTTGGAGCTGGAGGACCTACTCTAGAAACTCCAGAATAGTCTACCTGCAAGTAAAGCACCCCCTTTTTTCTTCACAGCACTCACAAAAGCAAGTTGGGAATCTATATTTTCAGAAGCATCTTTCCCTTTAGAAATGACTTTTATGAATGGCATCAAAAAAGAGGAGAAAAAGTGACTGTCCTTTCTTTGCTGGACCACAGAGACCCCTCCCCCCCGGTGTCTAGACAGGTCATTTGAACCCTAGATGAAGCCCTCTTCTAGAGACAACTTCAAAATGGTGCTGGGTGTGCCCTTGGCCTTGCAAACGATGAAGGGCTTCAGAAAGAAAGTCTCCTGTTATTTCATTATCTTTCCTTGGCGCCTTCTTTCTGAATAATGTATTTTCCAGTCCATGGTGAAATGTCCAGGCGTCTGAAACTTAATGTCATTTGGAATCTGTTGATTTGTTCCCCCGATGTCCACTCAATCGGGTCTGGTTATTTGCTCTTCTGAGTTCTCATGTTAACATTGGCAGTGGCCTCCTCAGACTCTTGCCATGGAGTCCAGATGTCTCTGGGGCTCACAGATACATAAAAGCGTAAGCAGAAATGAATGCATCAGTATTCCCAGGGGAGGATTAGGGTGATTTGTTTTCCTTCTTTATTATTTCCTTGCCTGCTTGAGAGCCACGCTTACCTTAGTGGAGCCCTGTGATATATTAGGCTAATTGGCTATCCTGCTGAGGATAAGGCTCCAATCCATGAATTTACAAACTTCCATCACCACCGAGTAGAATCCAGAGAGACCCTAATTCCTGGGTCTCGGCACTCTAGAGTTCTCTATCCTTTGAGAAACAAAAGAAATTTTATGACTGCCGGGAAAATTGGAGCTTAAAGTTGCCTGCCAGGGATGGTTTTGCCAAGTCCTCTTTCTTTTCCCATGACCTGGTCTTCTCTGTTCTCTCAGCCTCACGGCCACACTGGCGAGCGTCGGTGCGGCCAGTATCCCCAGCGCGGGCCTCGTCACCATGCTCCTCATCCTGACGGCTGTGGGCCTGCCAACGGAGGACATCAGCTTGCTGGTGGCTGTGGACTGGCTGCTGTAAGTGCTTGCAGACAGGGCTCTGCTGGGGATGTGAGTACTGCCTTCCAGGGGCCCACGAGATGCATGGTTGCAGCCAAGGTCTTAGCAAATCCCCATGACAGCTTCTTCCCTCCCTTCCTCCCTTCTTCCTGCTAACATTTACTGAGCGCCTAATTGGGAATCGAAGACGAGAAAGGAATCCTGGGTTCTCACAGTCTAGTGGAGGCATCAGATAAATTACAGCACAAAGTTAGAAGCCTAGCAATAAGGAACGTGCTACTGATGCACCAGAGGATCTCAGTACATTATGCTAATGAACGAAGCACAGTGGAGTGTGCGCTGTATGATCCTGTTTATATGGGATCTAGGAAAAGCAATATAATCTTAGCAACAGGAAGAGATCAGTGGTTGCCTAGGCCTGAACGGGATCAAGAGACTAATTGGGAAGGGGCACAAGGAAATCCTTCGGGGTGGTGGAAGGCATACTATAGGCACAGGTATGCACGGGTGTCTACGTTTGTCAAAACGTACATGGGTACATTGTGTTGCATATAAATTATACTTCGGTAAAGTAGATTAAGAAATTGCACACACAGGGGCAACTGGGTGGTGCAGACGATTGAGCATCCGATTCTAGATGTCAGCCCAGGTCATGATTTCAGGGTCCTGAGACTGAGCCCCGAGTCAGGCTCCATGCTCAGCGGGGAGGCTGCTTGAGAGTCCCTCCTTCTCCCTCTGCTCCTCCCCCTGCTCACGCACATGCTCACTCTCTCTCCAAAGTAAATGAATAAATCTTTTAAAAACTAGCACACACATAAAGGGATGGTGATGGACAGAGACACCCATCCCAGTCTAGGATGGAAGGGCAGAATGGAGGAATCAGGGAATAATGAACATGGCTACTGAGTTTGCGCGGGCACCATGTATCAGCCACTCCACCAAGCATTTTGCATCTTCCACTCTCTTAACAATCCTGAAGGTTTGACATTAGCACTCTCAGTGCATAAATGAGGAAGCTAAGGTGTAGGGAGGTGAAATGACTTGAGAGTGAACTGAGATTTGACTCCAGTTTGGCTTGATTTGGGAGACCACTACATTCTCCATCACTGGCCATCTTCAAGCTTCTAAGGGCAGTGATAGTTGATCCCAATCATAACTGGTAGGTAGATACAGGTGGAGGGGAAATCGGGGCATTACAATCAAGGCCAAGGCCCACCTGTGCAAAGGCACTGAGGCAGCAAACAGTGTGGGGACCCATCAGTGGTTTAGCAATATCGGAGCACAGGGTAGAAGGCAGGGACTGGTGAAAGGTGGGGCAAAATGGATAGTCTGCACGGCCATGCAGAGAAGTTTGAGCTTGACTGTGTACACATAGCCCGACTACCTTTCCCCGTATGTTTACTAGTGAAGGGCATTTTTCTAAAGTAGGACACTCACTGCGCATTCACAGACGTGGGCAGGCCTAGCCAGATGGCCCCCAGGAGGCAGATGGGAATTGATCCTTGCTACAGGCCCACTCGGCCTCTGAGGTTCTGTGGGGCATACACTGATGCCTCCTGTCCAGTCTTGGAGCTAAGCAACAGGGTCTGGGGATGCTGTTGTGTTCAATGTCGGGGGCACAGAGGTCCAAGACCAAAGTGCCCACACATTTTTTTTACTTTATTATTATTTTTAATAAACTTATTTTTTATTGGTGTTCAATTTGTCAACATACAGAATAACACCCAGTGCTCATCCCGTCAAGTGCCCCCCTCAGTGCCCGTCACCCAGTCACCCCCAGCCCCCACCCACCTCCCCTTCCACCACCCCTAGTTCGTTTCCCAGAGTTAGGAGTCTTCCATGTTCTGTCTCCCTTTCTGATATTTCCCACTTATTTTTTCTCTTTTCCCCTTTATTCCCTTTCACTATTTTTTATATTCCCCAAATGAATGAGACCATATAATTTTTGTCCTTCTCCGACTGACTTATTTCACTCAGCATAATACCCTCCAGTTCCATCCACGTCGAAGCAAATGGTGGGTATTTGTCGTTTCTAATGGCTGAGGAATATTCCATTGTATACATAGACCACATCTTCTTTATCCATTCATCTTTCGATGGACACCGAGGCTCCTTCCACAGTTTGGCTACTGTGGACATGGCTGCTAGAAACATCGGGGTGCTCCACATGGCGGTGGCAATTTTTCTGGTGTCTGTTGACATAGATTTTAAGAGCAGGAAGCAACTTTAATTGGACTTGAGTTTCCTGTGTCTAAAACAACAGTTCCAAATAATAATAAATAAATAAAATAAAATAAAATAAAATAAAATAAAATAAAATAAAATAAAATAAAACAACAGTTCCTTCCCCGTACATCTAGAGAGAAACCTACACGTGCTGAGGGGAAGGACATCTGGCAAGCTAGAAGGAAGACTGACCTCTCCATAGAGCTTGGCTGCTGTTAGGGTTTAGGTTAGAATGGAGAGGTGGCTCCCCAGACATAATCTGCACCTCAGAAGAGCTGCAAGGGAAGTCGTGGATCTTCCTGATGGGCTCACTCCTCACCAGAGAAATGGTCCAAAAATACCTTTAGTGGGAAGGTGAAGAGTAAGCGACACGGCCCCTTATCTGTGTCTGCTGGTCTCTGTCAGGGGTTGGGGCTGGGTCCTCTGAGCTAGCTTGGTTGTTCTGGGTGCTTGGGCTGGGCCCTCAGGGCAGCCTTTCTGTTTAGACCAGGCCATCGTGGTGGCTGAGATTCGGTGGTGCTTTGTGGGTAGAAATATTGGGAGGGAATGGGATGAAGGAGACAAAGGGGTGGGGTAGGCATTGGTGGGAAAAGGACGAAAGGGAAATGCAGGCATTGGCAATAGTTTAAGGTCAGTAGGAGCTCAATAAATGTGTGCTACATTTAACCACAGACTTGCTCTGTGATAACCAGGCTTTTCCACACAGGAAGAGAGACAGAGGAAGCTATTTAACTTAAATCTGCTTGCCCTGTGACTTTTGCTTACTGAGTCCCCTGTCTCTTGACTCCTTGAACCTCCTGAAATGGTGTACCCTTGCCTGCTGTGATTATATTACCTAGTCTCTTCTTGGGCTTGTTTCTGAGGCCTGAAATCCACCATTAGAGATTTATTTATTTTTTATAAGTTATTATTATAGAGTGCCTCCCCTCATGATCATGCAAATACCTTTCTTTGAGTGAAAAAAAAAGCACTACTATCATCTGGAAATGAAGAAAGGGAGCTGATACTTGGTGGATATTACCACGTTCTTTAAATCTGATAACAAAAATTGAACACCAATTAAGAATTAATTTATTAAAAAAATAGAAGAGGTTTCTAGGAAAAAAATAAATCTGATAACAATTAATCCCTAGAGAGCTCTTAAGATGTGTTTCAAAGATGAGGAAAATGAAAATTAAAAGGGTTAAGTGTCTTGCCTGGGGCCCAAGAGAGCTTGAGTGGTCAGATCTGGGCCCTTTAGCTCACCTGACAGGCTTCCAACTGAAGACCAAGGAGATCGAGCCGTGGGCAAAAGCGAAGAGGCCCACAATCAGAAAGGTTTTAGGGCAGGCAGACCTATTATGGTCACTCCTGGTTCTGCAGACTAACCAGGGAATTTTGTGTTTGACCTGTTTTTTCTCCTCCTCCCAAGATTAAAACAAAACCACAGAAAAAGCCTAAGTGGAGACAAATGGGGTATAATCAAGGTCTCGGCTACTCTGAGAATTCAAGCCCTCTAGCCCCAGCGGGTCAGCCATTGTGGGTCCTGGTCTTCTTGGCAGTCACTTGCTTCCAAGCCTGTTGGATGAGAGTCATTTCATGAGACATCCAAGACCCTGCCCACTTCTGACCTAAATGCTAGCGAATGGAATAAGAGGGCGGGTCCTCCCATCACCCCACACCAGGGCTCACATGTTCATACTTGCGCGGAGAGCAGGGTGTCCTAACTCCAGGCAGAGATGTGCCAGCAGAAGGCAGTTGGCTGAACCCAAAAATGATGATACATGTGGGTTAACTATATTGATGAAACTGTATATGAGAAAACTCAGTCCCAGGCTGGCTCTGGAAAGGGAGGAACAAAGGAAGGGCTGTCCTCTGGTTCCGGGGTCCGATCTCAGGTGCAGGGGGCCCGTGTGACCAGAGAAAGGAAAGCACACAGGCAAGAGCCCTGGATCTGAGCTCTGTACTTACTTTTTGTAGAACTTTGAGGAAGTTGCTCTCTGGACTTGTCATGGGGACAATGGGAATAATAACTCGTCAGCTTCAAAGCAGAGTCCAGACCCAATGCCCTTGGGTGCTCTTATGGTTTTAAGACTAGACTAGGGTTCTGCTGGTGATGGATGTTTGTACACAAATAAGCCTGGATGTTCCTTTTAAGAAGAGAAGAAAAAGCAGGGGTAGAGGATCCTGGGAAAATGTGCTCAGGGTCTGTAGCTAGGTCAGGTCTGCTTTGAATTAGTAATGGTGGCACATTCTTTCTCACCAGCAAGTGGAGCTCTGGAAACATGCTCTCGGTCATGGGCTCCGTGGCTGTTGGGTGCCCATTACGGCGTGAATGGGGTGGGGGGAAGAGTTGACATAGCGGTGCAGGGGGAGGTGGGCCATTCCCTAGTAAAATAGTCAGTAGGGGGAAAGCAGAGAAAAAAGAAAGATGAGGGGATTTTTTTTCTCTCCAGGCAAAGTTTGTAAGCTCCCATAACTCTAGCAATTTTTCAATTTAAAATCAAAGCCTGCAGTGACATTTAATGTGCCACAGTGTTTGCCAACTGCTGGAGGCTGGCCAGCCTCATTACTGCCCGCCAAGCCTTGGATACTTTTCAATGGGCAGGCTTGGCTGCTCTGTAAATGTCATGGTGAAAACCAAGATCCTGGGCCCCGAAAAATACTGGAGTCCTCAAACACCGGATAGGCAGGGCTGGTAAAACCAGAACCTTCCCCAGGGTCCAAGAAGCCCTTTGTGTCAGGAATCCTCAGCAGATATTTATTAGAGACCTCGCTGACAACCCTTCGCTCTCAGAAGAAAACAGGATGGA